ATGGGCATGATTGTATAGCATCACTACTATACTGAGGCATTGTTACTTTGCTGGACAAAACTGGCTTTACAATTTAAACACTGCTCAGGTAACACACCAAACTTCAATGCAAAAATATTTGAAAGGTTATAAAAATTGAGTTCATCTAAAGAATATAAAAAGCTAAGACCAACTCTCCTCTAAGTATGAGTGGAGTATTGGCTCAGTTGGAAATACATAGTACAGATTCAATTCCATACAAAAGGAATACTGGCACCATTTTGAATTTCAGAAAGAATAATCCTTCATTATTTTGTATTTTTCTAGTTTACTCTTCACCTGGCATACCCTGGAAAAAAAAGTATTTGCAATTAAACCCAAACAACAATCTCACAGTCCTAAAGCGTATAAATTCGTTGAAGTGGTGTGCTGGCTTCGTAGGAAAAGGGCATCCACACCTCCAAAAATGAGTTCTCAGAGCACACTTAGAGCAATATGCAAGTTATGCTTGGCATGTGTAAAACAAGGTTGGATTAGCCTCAAGTTGGGCATGAAAATCAGTCAAAGGGGCTGAGAACAATAGCCAAGTGTGCTATTTACACACCACTGGCACCCCTTTTCTCTGGGCCACCTCCGTTTCACATCAGCCTGAGTATGTATGTACTAGTTAAACACATTGTCCTTAGAGCCATGTTGAGTACTTTGGGGAACAGGAAGGGTACCAATAAAGTCACATGCAAAATTATTTTACTACCAGAACAACGAAATATTTGTGTATTTTAAAATCTTCATATGAGGGGCACCTGGATGGCTCAGTGGTGGACTGTCTGCCTTTGGCTCAGGGTGTGATCCTGGGGTCCTGGGATCAAGTCCCAAATTGGGCTCCCCGCACAGGGCCTGCTTCTCCCTATGCCTATGCCTCTGCCTCTCTCTCTGTGTCTCTCATGAATAAATAAATAAAATCTTTTAAAAAATAAATAAAATCTTCATAGGAGAAAATATGCCAAATGCACCAAGCCAAATGCACCAAGTTCTTGGCACTTGCCCTCTGAGCCATTAGCGCGCACACTCGAGCCCTATCTCAAACAACTACATTTACCTTCTAACATGTCACTTTTCAACACTTTAAATTGTCTAAATTTACCTAAAAAAAAAAGACCCATTTTACTGATAAGGAAAATTGTAAAAGCTTTTGGATGCACTTCCATTCCTACTAAGCATGGTTTCTCCACTCTTCCACTGATCTCTTAGCCATGTCCACTGGAAGTGTATCCATGAGCACTTTTACCCAGCTATGTCTCTCCCATTCCTAGCAAATTCTTAGATATGCTTGATAAATATTTTTATCTAATTTGCCTCATCTGTTGTTTTTATTAACAACTAATTTAATATCCTCTCTTCTGTAATATCTGCAGAAGCTAGTATAAGGAAACGTGCAGCCAGCCCAGACCCTCAGGCCTGCGCATCAAGATGGCAGGCTGGCCAAGGGTCCTCTGGGGACAGCAGCGCCAGAAGGAGGATTGGACACGGTGACCCGTCTGCATGAGATGAGGAAAAAAACAACAACAACCAACAACCAGGAGGTCTGTAATACTGATGAACTAATCTGTCACTCACCAGCTCAGGTCTGCAAAAAAGAAAAAAAAATGCAGTAAACATTTAATGACCATGAGAGGTGGAAATAAGAGTCTTCATTTTTACATGATATGCAAACCCATGGCTCAGAACCTGCTTAACTGTTTAATTTGAGTTGATTTGAAAAATCATCAGAAGGCAAGAATCCACCCTATAGTTCAAAGGGCTAGGAAGTGTGCTACAGATAACTATCAAAAATCCAGTTGATTTCCAAGAATTATATGAATGAACCAAGTTTCTTGATCTCCATATCCTAGGCAGGGAGTTTGTTCTTAAGTACTAGACTGCTTAATTGCTTGCTTGGGGGAGAGAAAATCCTGGGGGAAAGACATTTATGAGCAATATCTTCTCTATGGAGCCAGTACACTCTCCCGAGCTGGATCATGGCCAGCAACACAGAAAAGTCTACTCTTCCCCTCCAGTGGAAGCAAGTGGATATTTGATCTTAGAGATGAATGAAAAACCTAAAGATCATATTTCGTGGGAATCTTTCAGTATTCTGAATGGAAAATATCACTGAAAATTGGTTATTTGCTCCTCTAACCCAAATCCACTTAGGAACAAAACTAAAAAGGAGGAGTTTTGGGCTGGAGGACAGAAATAATTATCATTCCAATATGTATATGAGGAGGAACACAAACTAACATTTGCATTATCAAATGGGGTTGTTCACACAGGCTAAGTAGGTATAAAAGGATACTGAAATTACCAGCTGCAAACACGCGCGCGCACACACACACACATACACAAACAACAAAAAACCCAACCACTTACTTTTGATTATGATTGAAAAGCAGTAAAAATTATTTTCACATTCTCATCATTGTTAGAAGTAGTCATTCGGGTAAATATTTTTATCTGTGCTAAAACAGTTTAAAAGAAATCATTTCAAATACCCATGCCATCTTCTGTTTTATATCTATAGATAGGGGCTCCACTGAGGTTTTCTGACTTTTATGGTATGCATATAGGGCAGTAAGCTACTACTTCTCTTTCCTTTTTGCAGACCAGTGTTTCAGTTTCAGAAGGAGTAAGCATTTTAGTTTGTACATTTTTAATAGAGAAAATGTGTACAACCTTCAGAACAACTGCTTTGATAATTTGCTACCTTGCCAAAAATATCTGGGTTTTTTCAAAAGCAAATAATTTATGAGAAATGGAATCTTCAGAAAACATGTGGCTACTTTGGTGCAACTATTTAGAAAGTATCTGTAACAAGTCGTTAACATGTATCATTCCTGGACATATTGAGTCTTTAAAAATTAGAGAACATACAAAATACCAAGCTAAGTAATAATAACCACCAATTTTAACTCCTGACAAATTAGATGTTTAAGTCTAGTATCTGTAACATGCACACCAATTCCCTTCTTTAAAGTACATATTTGAACCTTTTAAAAGTATATGCCTTTGCAATTATTTCCAATAAACAATATTGAATGGCAAATTAGAAATCTCTCTCTTGTCATTTTTTTAAACCAACTTTCTTTTCCCAACTGAGGGAAATATACATGGAAGGAAATCCTATTTCTTATTTGGGACTGAAATACAGTAATTTTGCATAGGATTACGACCATATTACGACATAGGGAAGAGAGAATGTGTTTGCAACCCAAGAAAAGTTTTATTAAACAGGACAAAACTGTTATCAGGAGCTCAAGTTTTATTTATCTACGAAAAGGTCATCGTTTTTAACAGGTTATTTATTTACTACATGCCACGATTATTTTAGCTAAATTTGATATACTTCCTTGCTCGTCAGTGAACACTTACACTGAAATGGGTATTAATAATCTATAAAATCAGTCTTTACTTATTTTCTCCTGCCAAATGCATGCCCAGAGACTTCACTTTATATCTGCCTGTATAACAAAAGCCAACTTGGAAGTTTAAAAAAAAAATATTGTTCCACCGAAGCAGATATCTACTGCTTTTAAAATAGTGTGAGCCTGTGGAAACATGGTATTATGTATCTGACATTTCCCATCTAAAAATACATTATGAAGCATGCTGGTATTAATAAACCATGTGCCTTCAGAACCCGAAAGTGCTTTGCTATAATTTGGTTGAAAACAGAATAAAATGGTATATTTTCCACTACGCTATTAACATACAGCCAACAAATTCCACATCATCACCCTGGCAGCTTGTCTTGATTGGAAAGTGTGCAAGGAAAAAAAAAACTTTTAGGAGTTTATCAATATTCGTAACCACATTCTGACTGATGACTTAACAGTTCATAAGTAAGCCTAGATAACTTAGAAAAAAATTGGATCAAAACTACATTACCAGGAGAAGCAAAGAAAGACGGAAACCACCTATATTCTCATTTTCCACACCCCACCCCCATCATAGAAAAATCACCCTTCCTTTGCAGCAGGGCAGGATCATTCCTTTCACCTCCTCGGTTATCGGATGGAGGCAAATGAAAATACAACGATCCCTTCCTCTTCTGATTGAGCTCCCAACGCAAACATTTAAACACAAACATAAAGTCCCGATTTAACAGAGAAAGCGCCAAACAGAAAGAGCAAGACTCACTGACCCATTTGGAAGACAAAGACGACAGAACAGCAAAGCTCTAAAAATCAGCTTGGGAGGCCTCAGAGAGATATTCTTCTGGCATTTCATCACAGCAGCCCCAGACCAGTTCACCTCCCTGGATCCAGGGAGGAGGAACTAAATAGAGCTGTTTATTAAAGCCCTGGTGCTGGATTGCATTAGGAAGCCGAGCAGACCACCTGGACCTTTCAGAGTGTGGCAATGTTTAATTTGCTGCCTGCCTCTCTGCAGCAGCCAAGACCACTACTACATTTACCAGGGCTCAATCACACATTATCTGGGTTAGAAGTGAAGGCACGTGTATTGCTGGATTCCGATTTTCCATATGGAGAGGGAGAGGGAGGGAGAGGGAGAGGGAGAGAGAGAGAGAGAGAATATAGCCAAAATAAAAAATAGGGAACACGACAATTTTAACTACCACCTAGGAAACATGGCACTTTATTCCCCCCTCACACTTTCCTTCAGAGATCACCGTCTCGGCAGAAAATAAATTCTGAAACATCAAATCAGCAAAACAAAACAAAACAAAACCCACCCCATCCAGACCAGATTAGAAATGAGATTCGCCCTTGGATTTTTGTGGTGGTGGTGGTGGTGGTGGTGGTTTCGATTTTTTTGCTGTGAAGCCTCGCGTGGAAGTTTGAGGGCTGAGGTTCCCTGGCTCCATTTACTGGGTGCCTTTTGCCTCTCGCACTTGCAGCACTCCGCTGGCAGGCCGCTGAAGATACAGATAGAAAGATGGTACTGTAAATATGAATTATGTGAATCATATGGTGAGACCCTTGTGGAAAAAAAGGGGAGCTGGGAAATGGCTGACTCCATACCTGACCAATTACAGCTTGCATGGTCCCCGTATCCTGCTGGGCTGAGAGATCGCAATCCATCATATGTTGTCTTTGAAAAGGAGAATGGGGCTTTCTGGTATGCATCTGTCAATCAACTTCTGCACTCACAACCATCACCAAAAGCAAGGGGAAAAAAAAGTCAAGCTGCTCCACCAAATAGGATGAAACCGTCATGTGACCTCCGGCAGACACGCACACACACATTCACTACCTCCATAGAGCGTAAGAATTTTCTGTAGATATGAAATGACATTGACAAATATCCAATACCAAGTAAATAAAGTGAGACAAACAGCTATTCACCAAAGACAAAACATGGGCTGTAATCTTCCGCTAAAGGTTTAACAAACCTCTGAGGAATTTTTTTTTTAATGCTCTAGAAACCTGTGTTTAAAACAAAACAAAACAAAAAAAAATCAAAACAAAATTAACTATTTCATGGGATCATCGAGGCTTTGATTTCTACGCCACCACTCCAATTCTTTCCAATTATAAGTCATCCCCGTACTCCTGCGGAGCTGACCCTAATGATTTTATTTTCAGATTCTCTAAATGACCTTTGGACAGGATGCAGTAATCTTTCGCAGTTTTATATAACAGTCACCTTTACGGAAAAGCTTGAAATGTTAACCGTCGCCTAACACAGATACCCTGATATTTGTTGATTGGAAATGGATATATACAATCATTTGTGTAAACTGTGATGACCACTCCAGTATAAAATATTCAGAGCGTGTAAATAGTAGTCACTAAACTTTCCATTTTCTAAAAGGTTACGAAATGATTTACTTGCAGCTCATCTAAACTGATGTAAGGTGGTGATGAAGATTTCAACTTTTTTTTTTTCATCTAATTTAAGCTATTTGATCCCACACACTTTAGGGTAGAGGGTTGGGTGGGTCATGGGTCAGCTATTAGAAGGGCCAGGCGAATGGAAGGATGAGCTCTTTAACCCTTTCAGGATTGAGATCACAGCCTGATGTCCTACGCAGCCTGGCAGATACAGGGCTCTGGAGTCCAAAGCCATTAACTGCTAACTCTTAGTTTTGGTGGCTTTGCGCAGTTACTGACGTTTGCTGTGCCCACTTTTTAAACTGAAGCTCATCAGCTGGCCTGCGCTTTGGGGCTTGTCAAGAAAATTCTGCGGGCGAGCCTTGGGGTGTTACCCCGGGAGCGCTTTCCCAGGTCCAAGACTACGCGCGAGCCTGGGAGGCAGGGAGGGTGCGCGGGACGGCGGCCCCGCATCACCGCATCGCTCCGAGGTTCATTACAAGGAACTCCAAGGCCAAAAAAAAAATTTTTTTTTCACCATTTCTAGAGCCCGCTATAGGAGAAAAGAACGGAAAAGGGCTGAAGTCTCCGACTTCTCGTTAAGTTGCCAGTATAAGCAGATTCTCTCTCTCTCTCTCTCTCTCTCTCTCTCTCTCTCTCACACTCACACACACACACACACACACACACACAACACGCCTTAGTGGGATCCCCCAACACGGGGACCCCGTGCACCTGCTGCGTAGCCTCCCGGGAGCCGACGGCTGCCCAGGTCCCCCTCCCGGGATTCAAATGCCCAGCTCGCGCGGCGACCCCAGGCGTCGGTCCCCCTGGGCGCACAGGCCGACGGAGGGGGGCTCTGCAGCCACGGGGGGGGAGGGGCAGGTGCGGCCGAGCCCCGGTCACGGGGGGGGGCGGGGGCGCAAACTTGCCCGAGGCCTGCGCGCTCGCGGGGGGTGTGGGGGGAGAAGATGCGACCGCTGCCCGCGCGGGCGCACCGCGGACAGACGGACAGACGGACAGACGGAGTGGCGGGACCGGGAAAGTTGGGAGGAGGGGCGCGCCGGGAGGCCTGCAGCGCCCTCCCCACCCCGCGCCCCTGCGCCCCCGGAGTCCCCCCGCGCCCCCGGAGCCCCTTGCGCCCACCCCACCCCCCTTGGCCCCCCCCGGAGCCCTTGCACCCCCCGCGCCCCCTGCGCCCCCCGCTCCCCCCGAGCCCTTGCACGCCCTGCGACCCCGGAGCCCCCTGTGCCCACCCCACCCACCCCCGGGCCCGCCCCCCCCGGAGCGCCCCCCGCGCCCCCCCTCCGCCCCCCGCGGGAGCCCGGCCTGCGGCTGGGACTGGGGCTGGGGCTGGGGCTGGGGCTGGGGTCCAGGCCGGGCCGCCGCCTCCCGGCAGCCTGCCGGCAGCCTCCGGACCTCGCCCCCCACGCTCCGCCCGGAGATCTTGGGCATCTGCGCTTCGCCGGCGCCTCCCCGGGAGGGGCGTGGAGGGGCAGGTTGCGGGGGGGGGAGGTGCGGAGGCCGAAGACCCCGGGAAGCTCCGCCCCGCAGAGGCCGGCGCCCGGGTCGGCGCGGGGACCAGGGCTGTTCCCGGGAGCCTCTGGCCTCGGGGCGTCACAGTCCTGCTGGGCCGCAGCCTGGAGCCGGGCCAGGGCAGGCCCCGAGGCGGGCACTCGGGGCTACACCAGTTCCGCCGAGTCCGCCCAACAGCTCGGCAAGGCGGGCGCGATTATTTCCATTTTTCACACGAGACGCACAAGAAGGTAACTGCTTAAGAGGGGCAGGGTCGTGTTTTGAACTTGCTCTGAATCTGAAGAGGGAGCTTCTCATAGGAAACTCAGGAGTCAGGCAACATTCAGAACAATGGCCACAATGCAGGGACGCCCGGGTGGCTCAGAGGTTGAGCATCTGCCTTTGGCTCAGGGTGTGACCCGGGGTCCTGGGATCGAGTCCCACATCCGGATCCCCAAAGGGAGCCTGTGTCTCCCTCTGCCTGTGCCTCTGCTTCACTCTTTCTCATGAATAAATAAATATGATCTTTTAAAAAAAAAAATGACTACCATATATAAAGTACAGACTCATTCAACAAATACTTGTGGATACGGTACTAGGCCTAGGTACTGTGTGAAGCCCTGGAGGTACAGCAATGCTGACGTAGTTCCTCAAGGCCCTACAGAGGAGCCGTTTGGCCAGATATTTGTGGAATAATCACAGAAATGTAAAATGCTAAACTATTCTTAAAGCTATAGAGGAAAGGAAAAGAGTAACAGAAGAAAAGGAATTGACCTGGAGGCGGGGGGAGGGGGGGATCTCTGAGCAAAAGGAAATTAGCAAAACTTCACTGAGTTTTGAGTTTTGCTTGAAATAAACTAGAATGGGAACATGGTAGGAGAAAGGGGGGGAAAGGTTTCAGAGATAAACATTCTCCACAAAAGAGATGTGCAAAAGGGGTGGGGGAGGTCCACCGTTAACGAAAGGAGCTCAGAGGAAGCCTTGTGCCTGTCCCGAGCACGGACAGCAAGGCCGGGGGCAAACACAAGAGCGCACAGGGTCTCAATCTAAGAGCTAGAACTGTGAAGTCTCACAATAAGCATGTAGTCTCACACTTTGATTTTGGAAGATGTCTCTGGCTATATAGTGAAAAGTTAGCAGTGTGTTGGAGGGTGGGTAATAAAAGTGGATGTGGTGAGCCCATTTAGTTATAGGGCGGTGGGACTGGTGGTGCTGGGAACTGGATGGTTTCAGGACAGGAGGTGTGATGCACAGGACCGGTGGCTGACTGGCAGTGGAACTTGAAAGAGAGGGAGGTGTCCTTCTCATTTGCACCAACATCCCATTAGTGATACCGCTCACCAGGCTAGGGGGTGAGGACGAAAGCCAGGCTGAGGAAGGGCAGGAGGGATCCGAATTTTGGTTTGAGGCTTATTTTCACTACAATCCTCAGAGTACGAATGATAATTCCCCCCCTTTTTTGGATGAAAAAAAAATCTAGGAGTCTAAGAGAGAAAACAACTTGGCCATGACCGGAGAGTAGCAGAGAAGGTTCATCTGAGGGAAAATCAAGCTTCTTGACCCTTGACATTAGATGGCTTGGAAATGAGATGTTGTTGGTTTTGGGGTTTTTCAGTTGATTAAAATCTTCCTACCAGGAAGCCAACTAAAATTAATGACCTTCTCCTAAGAATCAGTCCTTGTAATGAAAAGTCTCCAGATGGCACACATTAAGGCACCTCCTTCAGCATGAGAATTTGGTTGGGACCCTAAGCCCCTGCCCAAATAAATTGGAGGGACTGGGTTCTAGGTCTAGAATGGCAATGGGAGGACGGATGTAAAGATAAAAACACAAAGATGGTTTTGAATTATCCAACTAACAACTTATATATTTATGGTGAGTAAGAGCTCCTGATAGGTTTTCTGGGTAATACAGAGACTTGAATAAGACCAACATCCTGACATTCAAAGGTTCATAATCTATTAGGAAACAGAAACACAGAAAATGACTTAAATTTGGCATAGACTGCTTTCAAAAACCAAACCGAATGTATACAAGAGTTATCTGAGAGGATTATTCTGTTTTCTCTCGTGAAAGATGTTTATATTTTTAGGTACCAGGATATACAGGCTCGAGTTAGGATCTACTGGATCCCGTCCTTACCTTTGACTAGGTGTGGCCTCAGGAAACTGGCAACTTCTCTGCATCCCAAGTTTCTCATAACTCCTCAGTGCTACTGTCAGAATTGGGGGAGATCTATTTTCCAGGAGCTGTTGAGTTATACTTTGTAAGTTACCTGGGAAATGTTCATTATTTTCCCATATGGGAGGAGTCTAGAGGGGCAGGAAAGATGAATTCCGCTGGGGAACGGAGGAAGATGGGTGGAAGGATTTGGGCTGTGATGTAAACAGAGGAATCTTCTATTTAGGGCAAAGGGAAGAGCCTCACAAAAGCTCCTGTTCCTCCATCAGTGTGAGTGGCAGCCTCTTTTAAGATAAGAGCAATCAAAATCCAATGGAGAAGGGCAAGAAGTAGTATCTCTACTAACCTGTACTCTATTACTTCCATAATAGAATTTAGAGCGGAAAATTCATTAAGTGAAATATCGGCCCTTCCTATCACCAAATTGCCATAAAATGGTGCCCTTTCCAGCCCTTTGAGGCTCTCTCCTTGTCTCGCAGCTTAGACCTACATACATGCCCTTTCTCAACAGTTGATGATCTTGAATTTAGGAAGCAACAGGTCGGGATTCCGTCCAGGGTACGAGCATTGGCGCCTTCGTGATGAAGACCCTGCACGGGTCGCACAGCTCAGGAGC